TTAAACCGCAAATGCTTTCTAGATCCTATTTCTTAAGTGGATTAGTCTTTTTTCTGTTTATCTTATCTTCTTGACAATATCTCTCCATTTTTTCCTGTCTCTAGTTCTTCCTCTCCATTCACTGACTCCTGCCCTTTGGAGGTCTTCTTCAACTTCTTGCAGCCACTTTGATCTCGGTCTTCCCCTTCTCTTTCTTCCTCCTGGATTCCATTCTATCATTGCGTATGTCACTGCCTCATCGCCTGCTCGCCAAATGTGACCTAACCATCTAACTCTGCATTGCCTTATTTTAGTTACGATGTCTTCCTTAAGTTCTTCCTTAATTTTTGCATTTGTTTTGTTTCTATATTCATTTTGCTCTGTTCTGATTGGTCCTAGTATGGTTCTCATAATCTTTCTCTCTGCAATTCTTAAGTCTTCTTCATCTTTTTTAACCATCGTCATTGTTTTTCCTGCATATAATAATATTGGTCTAATTATGGTGTTATAAATGCTCATCTTACTTTTTTTAGTCAGTGTTTTGCTTTTAAGTAATCTTTTGTTTGCAAAATAAGCTTTATTCGCTGCTAATATTTTTTCTTTTATTTCGGATTTCCTTTCTCCGGATTTACTTATTGTAACTCCTAGGTATTTGAAGCATTCTACTTCTTCAAACTCGGAACTTCCTATTTTGATTTTTTCCTTCATTGGTTTTTTCCCTAAACTTAACATTTTTGTCTTTTCTTGATTTAATCTTAGCCCCATTACCTCCCCTTTTTCTCTTATTTCTTCAAGCATTTCTTTCATTATTTTTCTGTTCTTTGCAATAAGAGCAATATCATCTGCATATGCAATTATTTGACCACCTCTTGTTCTGAGATTTCCTTTATTTATATTTTTTCGCAGTACATATTCTAATGCTAGATTAAATAGCGTTGTTGATAAGGCATCTCCTTGTTTCATCCCTTTATTTATACTGAATTCTTCTGTCTCTCCTCTTTGTGTCTTTATGCTTATTTTTGTAGTTCTCATTGTCATTTCTATTAATTTTCTGAGTTTATGTGGAATTTTTAATTTTTTAAGTGCTGTCATTAATACGTTCCTTTTAATTGAAATAAATGCCTGTTTGAAGTCTATGAATAACATTTCCAAATCTAATTTATACTCGTTTGCTTTTTCCATTATTTGTTTTATTGTGTGTATTGCATCTATTGTAGATCTTCCTTCTGTGAATCCACATTGGTACTGTCCTACTGTCTTCTTTGTGATTTTTGATAACCTCTTTTTTATTATTGATGTCAATATTTTATATGTTGTATTTAGTAATGTTATTCCTCTATAATTTTCACAGATTTGTTGGTCTCCCTTTTTATGTACTGTTATGATCTGTCCTACCTCCCAGTCACCTGGCATTTTCTCTTCTTTCCATATATTTTTCAATAGTGCCAGTATTTTTTCTCTTAGTTCCCTTCCCCGTATTTTATTAGTTCCATATTAATTCCGTCTTTACCTGGGGCTTTTCCATTTTTGCTTCTCTGTATTACTTCATCCAATTCCTCTAATGTTGGTTCTTTTGAAATTTCGATGTCTACTTCATTTGCTTCTTCTTCGTGTACTGTTTCCTCCTCGTCATGCATTTCTTCTTCTGTTGTTTCCTCCGTCAAGAGCTCTCTGTAGTAATCTCTCCATACTTGCTTGTATTCTTGGTCCTCTATTATCACTATTCCCTTTCTATTTTTTTTATTTCGTTTGTTTTGCCCTTGTATTTTTTGTTTTGTTCTTTAATCTTTTTGTAAAAACTTTTCGTATTTCTGTTTGTTTTTTTTCTGCTCTATTTCCTGCATTTTTTGTCTACTCATCTTCTTTTATTTTGCCTTATCACTTTCTTAGCATTCCTTCTTAATTTTTCATATTCTTCTCTGTCTTCCTCTTTATCTGTTCTTAGCCATTTATTTCTGGCTTGCCCTTTTTTCCTGTTATTTCTCTACATTCTTGGTTATACCATTCGTTTCTTGTTTTAGCCTGACTTTTACCTATCTGCATATTTGCACCTTCTTCTATTGATTTTTTGATCGTCTCCCATTCTGTGCTTATATCTTCTACTTTATATTTCTCTTTTATTTGAACTGTTACTGCCTCTTCATATTTTTTTCTTACTTTTTCATTACTCAATTTATTGACATTCCACTTTTTACGTTGGTTTTTTTGTTTTGTTTCAATTTTCACTTTTTGTCTTATAATGGCTGTGACCATGTAGTGGTCTGAATCTGCACACGCACCTCTGAACGTTCTTACATCTTTTATTGACGATTGTTTTCGTTTATTATTCATTATGTGATCAATTTGACTATATGTTTTCTGATCCGGTGACCTCCATGTTACCTTATGTATTTTAGGGTGTTCAAATTTTGTCGAGCTTATTAACAAATTTGTTCTTGTTGCTAGGTTACATAGTCTTTGCCCATTGTCATTCGTGTTTTCGTGTATTGTACGCTTTCCTGCAATTTGCTGTAAAAAGTCCTCTTTTCCAATCTGGGCGTTGAGGTCTCCCAGTACAAATATGACATCTTCTTTGGGTGTTTTTTCTATCTCCTCTTCGACCTTATCATAAAAGATTTCTTTTTCGTCTGCATTGCTTGTTTCTGTGGGGGCGTATAAATTCAAGACTGATATGAGGTCACACGCCTAACTATGGTCAAGCAGAAATATTGAGAAGGGAAAGAAATTACAACAAAAGACTGTTTCTAGAAATATGTTTAATTATAACTACACAAAACACCTTAAACAAAAGAGAATACATTGGAAATCTTAGTGCTATATACAGTAATCTTCTTTTACAGAAAAGAACACCAACGATATAAAAGTTCTCTAAAAGTTACATAGATTAAACGGATCATTCCAAGTTCAAATGAGATAAAATTTATTTTTTATTTGTGTTTGGTTTATTCCTTCTTAATTACTTAGTAACATGAACTCTGTTGCTTGTTTAATAAGTACAAACGAAATATTTTTACATATTCATACATATATCAAAATTTGCAATGAAGATTTGCATAAACATAGACACTTCCTTTGTCAAACTAACCTAAAATAAATATGAAAAATAGAAGAGACATGGAAACCATAGTAATAAGTTTTGACAGAAAGAAAAAGAAAATCAAATTAATAATGCCAACTGTTAAGTAATTTTGCTAATTTTATAATCAATCCTCACAAGGGTAAGCCTGTTGAAGATAGAACAACTTCATTGTTCTAATGTAGTTTTTTATTTTAATTTTTAGTGAGGTTTGAAAAAGAGTTGAATAAACTCGAAAGCTTAGCAAACCTTAAAGAGTTTTACTTAAAGGCCAGTATTGACTACAAGACCCAAAACATCTATATATATATATATATATATATATATATATATATATATATATATATATATTATATGTATATAATAATGTCATATAATATATATATATATATATATATATAATATATATATATATATATTAATACTCACCTAGTCACTAAAGCCCCTTCCAAAAACAAAGAAAGAATATATATTGTTTATGTAATTATGTGGATCGCATCTGTGGTGAACCTATCCTCCCTTAATCCTTGCTGGTAGTCCAAAATTTTTTTTCTCTGTAAATTGAGTGAGTTTTTGTCTGACGAGGACTGTTAAAATTTGGTATGTTGTACTATACAGATATTCCTCTATAATTATTACAGTTTGTTAGTTCTCTTTTCTTAAATATTGGTATAATTTTACCTTCGTTTCTATCCTCAGGCATTTCTTCTGCTTCCCATATTATAACTATTAGTTTGTAGATGCTTGTTAATAATTTTCTCCTCCATCTTTACTTAGCTCGTTTGAAATTTTATCTGAGCCAGGTGTTTTTTCTGTTTTATTTTTTAATGCTGTGTAGCTATTGCGCAATCTTTTTTTTTTCAGGGCTTTCTCTGCATCTCTAAAGTTTTGTGAAGTGTGCTTCTTATGATTCATTTACAATTTTATTTACTAGTCTACATTTTCTTTGTTGAGCTTTTAGGTATTCAAAAAGTTTAATGCTGTCGTTAATTTTCTCTTCTAGGTCCTTTAACAACTCTTCCATCCGAAGCTTTTTTTGCATTGGTCAATTACTTTCTTTTTTCTTTGTATTCATTTCTTGCTTGGTTTTTCTGTTTGATTTTGATTTTACATTCTATATTGAATCATTCTCTCCTTCTTTTAATTTCCGTCTGTCCTAGCACCTCTTCAGCTGAATTTAAAATGGATTTTTTTATATTTTTCGTATTTCCTTTGTGTTATTTGCTTTCATAAATTTTTTTAGGGTAGTCTCATATTGTTCTCGTTGTTCCTATAATCTTAATTTCTCCAGGTTCCATCTTCTTTACAACCAACATTACCAGATTTAAATTTGCACTGACATATTGTCACTAAAATTTTTTCGAACAAATGTTGGATTAATTATGGTGAAAAGGAAATTTTAAAATATAATTTCGAATGTTAAATACATAAAAATCAATATAAAATAGTTACATTAGTTTTATTGATGTAAAGCCACAAGTAACAATTGACGGGTGAAACGTAGCACTTACCCTGTTACCTTTCTTGTATAGTGTAGGCCTAAGAAACAATTATACTGCTATACTTGCAAACTGTATCGACCGCGACGGTATAAAGAAGGACTAATATTTATTTTTGTAACTCAAATTTGTGTTATACATTATTGTTACATTTTTTTTTTCATAGCCCTTTTTCTATCCGAATTGTCGAATAAAGGCCTCTCCCATTTCTCGCCATTCTTCCCTGTTGTGTGCTAGGCGTTTCCACATTGGCCCTGCGACTCTTTTGATATCGTCGATCATGATATGGTCATGATATGATCATGATATCGTAGATTTAGATTGTTCTGTCAGTTTTGTTATATTTTCTTTCGGCGTCCTAAAAACTTATACAAATAAAAATACAAACAATATTCTATTGCATGGTTGAGCAATCATGTTAATTTTAAAATTATATATTTTTGTAGGAAAACCTGGATGACGCCAGCATTCAAGAAGCAGGTACTGAAAATGCAGGAAGATCTGCTATTTTAATGGAGAAAATGAAAACTTTTAATTTAAATCCAAGGGCAGGAGCGAGTGATATGTTCGAAAAATTAAAGTCCAATAACTTGGAAAGTGCTAATCCATCGGCATTCTTTCATAAAATTGAAATTCCAGACCAAAGAACATCAGCAGCACTTCTCCATCACCATCATCATCACCACCATCATCATCTTCATGGAGTTCCTTCTAGAACCAACAATCCTGAGGTGGAATATGGACCACCTAGTAGGCATGAACAAATTGTAGGAAAACCAAAAGAATCTTCGTACAGAGAGTCAACATTTAGTCATTTTCATGATCCCCATTTCCATGATCCTCACTTCCATGATTCACATTTTCATGATCCTCATTTTCATCAGCATAATTTTCATAATCCTAATTTTATTGATTCTGATTTTCATGATCAACACTTTCACCATCGTATACCAGGTTCACATCGTTTTAATTCAGAATTTCCTGAAACCAAATTTACTCATCCGGATAGATTTCCACACTCCCATTCTACATTTACAGATGATAGTTTTAACCATCACTTTTTCCCTCGTACTAGTAAATCCAAAAGCACCATTGAAAATGAGGTTGAAGAGAAATCAATCGTAGGCGGAGAGGAACAGTTAGGTAAGTTTAAACACAATTTGAAATTGTAAGAATATATTATTTTTAAAGTCCATAGGCCGTGAACTGAAATTATTAGTTCTTGTCATTTCGTCTGTCACTACGGCATTATAGGTGACACCGTAAAAGCCATATAGCCTATAAAATTGGATGTATGTAGTGAATGGAACATATTTTTCGTAGTTATAATGGCGACACATTAAAAATAACAAAAAATTATTTAAAAAACTTAATAGAAGCTGCAAAATATGTAAATGTTAGCGAACATGTAAAATTACTTTTTTTTTATATGTAAAATGTATTTTAAAATACGAATTCTAAATCAAAATATTAAAAATATTTACAATACCGCAAAAGAAAAATCGCAAAGATTGTAAAATAAATGATATTCATAAAGTCTCAAGTATGACCCGCTTTTCCTTTTTGGTCAAATTCTTTACGTTTTGCCGACCTTTTATATTTAATTTATTTTTGTAGCAATATTTATTTTGTTTGTAATACACACAGTCAAATCGTAGATTCATATATTTCTTTAATTAATTTTACAAATTGCTTATTAATTTTCAAAACACGTTTTCACAGAAAGTAACTAGTTATGATTTCTTAGTGCAAGATATATGGCATCGAGGTATACTTACCTTTAACAATTTAAGTTTTGAATTTGTTCATTACAGTAATGGAACAACGTTGCCATATGATGCATCGTTAAAATATGATACATACAAGTCCCCTGGTTTTGTCTCGCTATGACAACATGCGCAAAGTCAAGTAAAATGACGTTTGATAAACGTCAACGTTTTACCAAAATAAAATCAAATAAAAAAATATTTAAAAACAAATAAAATTATAATAAACACAATTACGTAAAATTAAATAAAAATTATATAAAATTAAGTAAAATTATATAAAATTACGTAAAGCTTTAACTGCAAAAATGTTTCTATACCGTTTCTGGTCACGATCTGATCACGATCAAGAACATCTGTAGGAAGAAGAAGCGAGCACGACTGCGAATTAGGTGATTAATGGCGACGAATATTAGAGCAAGCCAGGATACACAAACAATCGTCGAGCAAAATATGATGATGATGAATATGCATATTACACTACTACATAAAATACTTACATAATCTGTGGAATATATATTTCTACACCATAAATAAGTTTTTCTATAATTACTTGAGAAAGGATCATTTGTCTTTTAAATGTAACAGGCGAGCGGTTTACCCCTGAAAAGACGCTTAGCAACGTAATATACCGACTAATTTTTTTTGCATTTATACCGCACCAAACCCTTTATTATTCGATTCAATATATTTTTCAAGTTCAAATGTATATTTTTTTATTTTCCAAGCGGGTCGGAAATTTCCCGAATAGTTTAATATTAAGGTAAATACTTTTTCTCTCTAGGTAATTTTTCAAAAACTAAATTAATTAGTGATTTTTGGGATTTTGTTTCTAAAAAACTACCTACTAAATGAGTTACAATTCTACAAACTGCTTTATAATCTTTAATCCTTCACGTATACGTAAAAATATTTTGTCAAGGATACATGGTTTATATCTTGCTAAAAACCTAGTTTTATATTAAAAAAAAAAAAATTTTATATTCAAAATATTTGGTTTCATGTTTTGAGCAAGATAAAATCCATTTATCCTTTTCAAAATATTGTTACTTATATTTAAAGGTTTAAATATTACAAAACTTTTTATATAATTGCAATTCGTTTACTAGTTAAAAAAAATCCCAAAAATCGAAAAAATTGCAAAAAACTCGATTAGAAAGCATTTTTAAAAAATTACCAAGATAAAAAAATAAAAAAAAAATTATTTCGATAAAGTACCTACGCCTAGAAAAATTACTCTAAGCTATTCGAAAAATTGTTTTTTTAGTTAGCTATATCAAATAGCTTTAGAAGCTATTATTTAATAACAATTTAAACTTGAAAAAATATACAAATACACTGCAAGTAGAAATGTAAAAAGAAATAGTCGGTTTATGCCCATGCTTGTAGGAAAACCTTCTTCATCATGTACCATGTCCTTTCAGAACGTTGATTACCACCAAAGCTATCTTAATTTTAGTCACTGTCACCCTAAATAGCATGCTTGTATCAACACCATACCAATCTCGCAAGTTCTTCAACCATGAGGTGCTTCTTCGTCCTGGACTGCGTTTGTCTGCTATTTTTCCTTGCATGATATTTTGTAGCAACCTATATTTGCTACCTCTCATTATATGTCCGAAATACTCTGAAAGATTTCTCTGCTTGATGCTTTTTATGATCTCAGTAGTCTTGCTGAGACGTTTTAGTATTGTGGAGTTTCGAATTTTCTCCACCCAGGAAACTTTTAAAATTCTTCTATAGCACCACATTCCGAAAGCCTCAAGGCGACTTAGATCGATTTTATTCACAGTCGACACAATAAAGTAAGACTGAGAACACGTAACAGCGAAGTAGGCACATCCTCAATGCCAATTTTAGGTATCTGTTACATAACACCTTCGACATCCTTCTAAAAGCAGCTCTAGCCTGCTCTATTCTAGATCTAATTTCGCCGTGACTTTCTGGGTTATAATTTAATTGCTGTCCAAGGTAAACGATTTTATCAACTTGCTCAAGTTTGGTATTATTTACATATATAGACGGTTTTATATGCTGTTGTTTACTTATTACAAGTATTTTGGTTTTCCGTATGTTCAGATTCAGGCCTGCCTCTCTACAACTCTCAACGACACTATAAAGTAGTGTTTGCAGATCTTCTTGACTAGAAGCTAGGAGTACTGTATTGTTCGCATATCGCAAATTATTGATGACTTTGCAAATTATCGATGACTTAGGAGTAAACAGCTCGCATATAACAATAATTGTCGATTTAGAGCTTTCTTCTTTCTCATCTTTTCTTTTTCATTATTTTTATGTTTAAAACTTCCTACATCACTCCTAAATTCAAGTGTAATGGTCTAGCCTAATTCCAACTCTGATAAGTCAATATCGACTTGTTTAATTACACCTTTTTTCCGGTAAAGAATTAAAATGTGAGTATGTACGCTTTGTATCTTTTTAATTTTATCTTTTTTGATTTTATTAAAACATTACGTTACTGTAAGAATTTAATATACCTTTAATTATATTTATACCAATGACAAGTTCAACCTTGCTCCGGCAATTTATGAAGTTTACCAATATTACGTTCATTATTCTGTACGAATATAACATGGACCGGCATCCGATGAAAAATAAAATTTAATTTGCCTTTTCATTAGAATTTTATTATCTCTTCGCATTGGTGCGTTTAATTTTTTTTTTATTTGAAACTGCTTCAACCACGAGCAATATTAGCAATGGTCGATTTTACAGATAACATACATATAAAAAGAAAACAAAGAATACAATTAGATTTTGTTGATTAGTACTGAGGAAACCAAAAAACGTATGGTACGATTGTGGTCACTATGTTCATTTAGATTGTCTTTCATGTTGTGTTTCAAATGCGTACAACGGAAATTCCAGTAATAAGTGATGCACTGTTAGATCACTGTCACACGCGTAATACAAAGGTTTGGGTTGCTTCTGTAGTAGGAAATCATTAGTGATCTTGGTGTGTCCTACATAGTCTGGAGATAATAACTTGATCTCTTCTTTTCATATGTAGCCTCTTTTGTAGGACAGTTTGTTTTATGGATCTAAGGTTAGAATTTGAGACATCCCATATTTCTTGCCATTTGTTCATAATTTTCTTTTTAAAATATTGTTTGAGATCGAGGTAGTGACAAGTAGACATTGACAATACAATGGGTTTCTCAATTTCTTGTTTTGCAACGTCGTAGGCTCTTTGATTTCCTTTTATTTCACATTGTGAAGGGGCCAAAAAAAAAACTGAACAGTTCGATGATCGATTTGGCATAACATGAATTTCGACTTAATTAAACTTAAAATAGTGTGTTTAGTTTGCAAGTAAGTTTGTTTAATAAGGATAGTGAACTTAATTTATCACTAATTAAGTTATTAGCAATGTTATTTTCATTCACAAATTTTGTTGCCTGAATGGCAAATAGATCAACAGCGAATATAGTGAATTGCTTAGGGAGTTGAAATGACCGTTCTTCGCTGGTTGTTACAAATGCAGCACCCACTCCATTTTTCGATTTTGACGCATCAGTATAAATGTGGATGGACTTGTAATGACTATTTAATTTTTTAAGGCTTTGGTTTTGAAAAGATATATTGAAGTATCAGATTTTTTAAATGATGTAAGACTGATATCGCACTTTGGAAGAGATTATTGTCCATGGTGGATGATAATCAGAATTTGTAAGTATGTATACAGGAGGTACAGTGATGTCTAGGTTATTTAGAATTGTACTGATACGATGATAGAATGGTGAATCCAATCTTCTTCTTGACTGAAACTTGAAAAATTTGGCAGCAAAAGTATTTCTGAAAACAGGAATGGTTGAATTTGCTCTCCTTGTAGTATATGAAAGACTTAATAAAACCTTTCTAAGCTGAAGTGACGGCTCCCCAGATTCACAGTTCATGTTCTTAATAGGGCTTGTGCAATGTGCCCCCAATGCTATCCTAATTGCAGAATTATGAACTGGACCGAGAATTTTTAGTATTGAAGTTTTTGCCGAGTTGTACGCAACTGCCCCTTAATCAAGTTTTGAGCGAATTAGAGATTTGTATATAGTCATTAATGTTTAAAAGTTCACGCCCCATTGTTTGCGAGCTATACTTCTTATTTAGTCCATTTTGTGTAGATTGTCGAAGAAAGTGCACATGTTCTTTCCAAGTTAACCGGTTATCTAATTGCATGCCAAGAAAATAAATAGATTTTACATATTCAATGGAATTGTTATTTAATACTAGGTTTGGGGAGATTAAACTAGCTTTAAAGCGTTTTCTGAAAAGCATAGCTTTTGTTTTATTGGAAGAGAACCGCAGACCAGTAGTATTAGATCAGTTTTCCTTGAATATCATATAATGTTGATAAATTTTTCTTCTTGAGTAGATGACCAGGTCGTCCACAAATAGACAGGCTTTGACTAGAGATGAAAGTGAGTTGGAAATAGTATTGATTACAATAAGAAATAAAGTAACACTAAGAGTAGACCCTTGAGGACTACCGTTTAATTGCATTTTAATATCAGAATAAGTGCTGTCTATTCGAACTTGAAAATGTCGCTTTAGGAGAAAGTTTCGGCTAAAATGCAAGATGCTTGAATTTACCAGCTTGACAAGGATAAAAAATATCTTGTTTCCAAATTGTGTTATAGGCGTAAGTTATATCGAAGAAAACAGTCCTGGCCACAACCAAATAATTTATGTACTACTAGACTCTATGTCTACTATGTTATCAGCAGTAGACCTAGATTTTCTAAAGCCGCTTTAAATTGAGCTAAGAAGTTTATTTTCATCTAGGTGCCACAGTAATCTATTACTGACCATTTTCTCGAGTAGTTCACATATGGAACATGTTAAACATATGGGTATGTAAGATTCTAGACTCGATTTACTTTTACCATTTTTAAGTACGGGAATTTTTTGTCAAAATCAAATTGTAGAGGTCTAGTAGATACTGCTTGCCTTCAACAGGTAAGGTTTTAAGAAATATGATTTTTAATAGGGTAACAAGTTAAGGTAATAACTTTTTATAATTTAAAAAATTTATTGGTATAATAAGTTCTTCTAGCTAAGCTATCTCCTCTTTTGATGAGTATGTTTTAGTATCTTGTTCAAGGTAGTAGATAGCACTGATAGAGTTTTATTTTTGTATTTCTCGATATAACTGTGAATTTAGGGACGAGATTGAGCCAAAAATAGCATCTGTTGGCCATGCAAATTCTGCGGTTTATCTCTGCGGTAGTATTATTTTCAGTATTAAGGGCGCTCCCAGGTATACACATTTGTTCACTGCTTCGATGCCGTCATTTTCTATAACGAGTGATCGTAGGATTTGTGGTTGCTTGCTTATTTTCATATACTTCGTTTTGTTGGTGTTTATTATTAAACCCAAATTGGCTCAATGTTAATTATATTTGGTATTGAATTTAGTGCAAGTTCTGGCAATATATCGTTAGTATGTACCAGTTTTTTAAGACTCATTTATTGGTTATAGGCTTCTACTCTTAATGAAGATTTTTTACTTTTCCAGTATGTGCTAATAAGATCCGGTAAAAAGAGTTCATGATTCGTTTATTAAATTACTTTTTTATAAATAATTTTCCATAGAAAATTTTCACATAAGTATTTTCTTCTTAATGCCAGAGGTGATTCACAGCATTCAACCATTAAATTAAAATTTAGTGTACTTATCATGGCTCCAATGCATTTGTTTACTATACTTCTAGTTACTATAGAGTCTGTTCGCAGTTTGTAAGTAGAATATAGAACCGTAGTTTAATATGGATCTAATGTATGATTTTTGTACCAAGAGAACAATATTGGGGTCTGCTCCCTAGTTACAACCATTTACTACTCTTTACACATTCACAACTTTTTTTGTTTTTATTCTTCTTCTTCTTATGGTGTCCTATCCAATTAGTGGATGTTGTCGACAATTCTGGTATACTCTTCTCGATGCTGTGTGGGCATCGAGGTTTGTCCAATCTCTTATGTTTTTAAGCCATGAATATTTCTTTCTTCCGATGCTCCGTTTTCCTTCTATCTTCCCTTCCATAATAAGCTTTAAGAATTTGTACTTGGAATTTGAACTATTTTATTACTATGTATTTTATATGTTCTTTCTATAGTAATCTCCGATCTAGAATAATTTCTAGATGTTTATTTGATGGTAGTACTAAATTAGGTACCTGATTCTTTCTGGAGAATATACATAACTTTGTTTTTTGATTTGAAATATTTAAACCTATAAATTCGCAGCAGTTTTTTAATCCACTATATTTCTATTTCGGCTGTGCACATCAGATATAGAATGGGGCTTAGAATACTGCCTTGTGGAGTACCGATATTAACCAAATCTTTGGTTATACATTTTTTTTTTCAGAATATGTATAATAACCTTTTTTAAACACTATTTCCGGAATTAAAATAAAAACGTTCAAGTTTAGTTGGTTAAAATGTAATTTTCATTACAACCTATAATAATTGTGACTTAATCTCATACAAGTGTAATATTTATATTTATTAGAAATGTCATAAGAGAGTCGGTTCAGAAGCTATTTCCTATTTTCTTAACTTCACTGATGTCTACAATACGCTAATTCTTTTAAATACATTTGTTAATTATTGTACTTTAATATAATATCAGTTATTTATTGATCTAATGATAATACATTATTTTACAGGAGATAAAACTGTAGATAATCCAGTTGGTGCTGTACATTCTATGGCAGATGAAAATAACTTCATTCAAGATGATGAAACTTTAGGTCTAAACAATCCTGAAAATCAGCAAATAGAGGTTTCACCACGTGGAAAGGAATTTGGTGATCCGGAAGGTTCTATTCCCGGCTCGTTATATAATTTCGACAATTCAAAATTAGATTTTGAAACTAAAGAAAATTCCAAAGATAAACAAATAAACCCAGCGTTTCCAAGAACTACCGAAGATACCGAAGATGAAAACGTTCCGCAGAAAATAATGGAAGATAGTGATCTTGTGGCAGTTCCCAATTCTGACCCCCTAGAAGAAGATAATCTAGAAGAGGAGGACAAAATTGTTTCTCCCAAAATCAAACTTGGTGCAAGAACTAGCGAGTTGTTACGAAAAATTAAAGAAAAACAAGATCAGACGTTGCAGAAGATAGCTGCACAAAGAGAAAACTTTGAAAGAGCAAGGGAAGGAATGAAATTTGAAATGAATGACGATAGATCAAAACAAGGTAAATTTAAACAATAAAAAAAACGCCTTTCTTTACTTTTACTTTACTATTATTAAAAACATTATCCCTGTGTTCTGTCACTGTTTTCCAATAATGTTTATAAATGGTATTCTTTCCTTAAAAGTTCTACCTGTTCTGTGATTTTTTATCTTTTTTTTTATCGACACTGTAGTGGCCAGTTGATATGTTCGGATCATTGTAAATAATACAAAAAAAATTTAATATTTATATACAATTTACAATAGGTAAATTTGTGGTTAGTTTAATTATGTACTACTTTTAATGGGAATCAGCCTCAATTTAAGTTTAAAATAAGTTTATTTTTGACGTTTCGATTTTCAGTTCGGAAACCGTTCTCAAAACAGAACTGTTTTTTATTTTGAGAATGATTTCCTAAGTGGAAATCGAAACGTCAAATATAAACTTATTTTAATCTCAAATTGTGGCTTATTCCTATTAAAACTAGTAATTGCATCAGGATGTTAGAAAAACATAGCTTTAGAACAATATTTTTATTAGTCACTTTAAGTTAATTTTCTTTATGAATGCTGTTCTTTAAATAAAATCATAATTTTATGGACTTATTTAATAATTAATTTGATTTGAATAATAAAAAATACTATTACAGACAATTGCAGTTCTAATAGACAGAATTATTAAGCTGACAGTCGTTATCAATAAAATTGCATTTTCTACCTTAAAAAATAAAGCGGTATTTGTCTCGTCACTTGTTTTTGAAACCTTTTTTCTTCTCTGGTAGCTAACTATTCTACATTGACCGTATTGCAGCTAGTTAGCCTATTATACTTCTTTTATTCATGTGTACAAGTCCTCTCCACCGATATTCATTAGTAAATCAATAGTTCTCCTGTCTTGCTATGTTAAATGTTCTTCTATAGAGCTAAGATTGAGGTCAATTATAGTTTTATTTTGTAGACTGAGAAGGGTCACTAATTTCTTAGTTTCTCTCTGACCCATCTCTTTTTATCTTCTTCTAAATTGTATTCCAGCTAGTTATAATGAAATGATGTCAGCGACAGCAGAGCGTCCATACCGTGTCAAGACTAGGATCTCTTAGTGGTCTGGATAATGAATCTTAGTGGTTGGAGAATGCAATATTTACAGCATACATCTCTCTGTATATTGATCTAGTTATGATGCGGCTCTCTGATGACTTGTCGATTAAGTCTGTTGTAGGTGTGCATGTGTGTATCTGTATTTTGAGTTTGTCTGTTGGTGTGCATTTATCAATATGTTTGTCGGTATATGAAATAGCTGCAACCTCTATGCCATATTTTTAGTTGTTCCACAGATGTTTATTTGATTTTAACTTATTTACTAAATTAAATAAATACTATAAAATTGTAGTTTCACATTTAATTAATAAAGATTTAAAAACCCGTTCATATATTATGTGTTCAAAATCTGCTCCATTTAATTCATGGCAGTAATACATCCTATTGCCAAACTGTTGTTGTACTCGTTCAACTGTGTCGCGGGAAATTGCACTGCATTCTTTAATAATTTGTTGTTTTAAAATGTCAATACTGTCGGGTGCTGTAGAGCAAATCTTAAATTTCAAGTACCCCCACAGAAAAAAACCTAATGGTGCGACTCAGTGACCGAGCTGATCATTATATCGAACCTGGCCGTCCAATATATCTACCACAATACTCCTTATCTTGGTAACGTCTTACTAGACCATAATAGTGTGCAGGAGCACCATCTTTTTGAAAAGTTATTTCCAAGTTAGCTCATTCATCTGAATTATCTTCCAGAATTTCAAGAATTAATGGCTCAACTGCATTTTGTCAATGTGATTTCCGAAAATACTTACCTAAATATTTACTTTTTCTGCAAATTAAGTAGGTTTTTCACGAAAGACGTGAACATTTGTGTCTCTTTAATACCTCACATTGTGTAAGTTAACATTTCCATTAAGAGAAAAAGTACTTCCGTCCTAAAACAAATTGGTCATCATCTGAAAATTTGTGCACAATTTTTAATTTGCATGGATGAAATTTGTTTGTAGCCAACACTCAGCTTGAACTATAGAAGAAGTAGGTTTCACTACCGTTACTGCAATTATGTCAATTACGTTACTGCAATTATGTCATCACTAATTTTTTGTCAACCAGATGGTTTGAAATGAACTGTATCTTAACTTAAATTATATTATTTAAATCTAAACTTATTTTGAAAATAGGTAGTAAAATTACCAGTTAAGTGAGCTACACGTTCTTGTATCTTTTTTTAATCAACAAAAACTTTATCTGCATTAGCTTCTTCGGTTGTAAACTTAAAAACATTAAAAATTATTTCTCGTGGTTCAGATCAAATGCTTGAAAACACTGTCAGAAATCTAGCACTAATAACTACGATGTGAACTCCTAACCAACAGCAATAGAAATGAGCAATCCCTTCCACTTTTCAATTTGTTCTACGCGCAACCCGCCAGCACTCGCTTGTCGGATTTTACTTTCTTGCTACATCTCGACCTTCTTTCTTTTATTTTATCTAGTATATTAAATTCTAGTGACTACCTACTGAGGTGATTATAGGGTTTCTCAATGTGTACACTATCACTTTCAATTTTCGAAATTTACCTAGCATTTCCATTGTTTCTTCTTCGGATATTTTTCAAACTTTGTCACTTCATACTTTTTTAGTTAAAACATTTGATGAAACATTTTTTATCAATATTTTCCCCTCTTTAATGTTGTTATTTGTTATATATGCTGTTATTTGTTGGTAGTCTACATTTAAGGTCTACAAATAATCAAACTTTTGACGTTCCTTTGAAATATTGGCTACCTCATCTTAGTCTTTGTTTTTTATATATATATATTTTTGTTTTTACATTAAATCCCTTGTATTGTATGTATTTCTAAATACTTTGGGGTTATGCTATTTTATAATTGATATCTTTATGTGTACTAACAGTTTTATCTATTACACTTGTCAGGTAATGAAATATTTCACTTTTTTTATATAATAATCCTGGATAATTCTACTATCCTCTCCATTTCAGTTGGCAATAAATTATTTTTTTCCTATTCACCATAATTCGTGTTTGTTAAAATATTTATTTTAATAAGTTTGCTATAATTCCGCATTTAATTTTGGTTTTGTACAATAAATGCATATCGTCTTCAAACGACTTAGTTTTATTAAGCGGATGATTCTTATATATTTGAAAGACAAAATACAAGAAACTAAAATTATCCAACACTTTGCTAGTTTGTCCAACTACGACCAACAAGAGAGACCTTCTTTCAATTCGTCAACGCTCCTGATCTATTGATTTTTCTTTCTGTTTGAAGATCATTGGGTTCAAGTATTCACGTTTGGTAAAACTACCCTTTTATAGAAGTGTGATAATGAACCCTTGTGACCAAAACTACACCTTCTGATTTAAATGACTTAAAAGAACGAATAACGCTTGCGATTAGGTCGATCGCGCCTGTTATGTTAAATAATGTTAGAAGATAGTTTTATTTGAGATTAGGATGTTGCCAAGACATTTTTGATTGTATTGTAGCAAATTTCGGTAACCACATGATTTTAATTTATTTTATCTTATTTAATTTTAATAAACTTAAAAGCGACAACATTTTTGAATGGAGAATGGAAAGACCTTTCAAACGATATATCACAAGCCTATACTTCCTATTTTAAAAATTGGAGGTTGTACCTGTCATTCTAAGAGGGTTGAAGGTAGGGGTTGCATTTTCACGTTAAAGAATGTCAAGTTATAATTTAAATTTGACGTGTTTCATTTGGCAACATTGCAACATTTTTGCCATACATTAAGTATGATGGTGCGAAATCAGTGAGAGTATGTTTTGTTTCATGATGTTTTCTGGTAAACCTAACACAATCAGGTTTATGAGTGTGTTATTGTCAATTAACTTATTAACTTCTAATATCAATCTTTCTCTTTTTGGGGCGTATTCTAATAGAGAACCAACTTGATATTTGAATGTAAAAGCAATTGGTACCAACATGTTCTATTTACATTATTTACACAAAATTTTACCTGAAATTAAAGAAGCGACATTTAATGTCACTAACTCTGGATGTTTCATCGAGTTAGAATCTACTGTTAATATACTGTTATTTCATACCGTATATTCATTTTACCCTTTAAAATATTATTTATATTATTATCTCTTTCAGATATAACTTGTTATTTGACTGTATTTATGTATAATATGTCGTGTTTTTAGTCTTTACCGCGGTATATATAAATCATAGTTTATTAAAAATGTATTGCACCTGTTTAGATTATGATTAAATCTTCTGAATAACTAGTCATATTTGTACAGTAGTTTTAATATTATTGAGTCTGGCCCTGATCCCACCGCCATATTGGTATGATCGTTAGCCATACTCACCTACGCCGTTTTTAATATACAGGTTAATATGCTCATAGCTTCTCCAGAGATTCTAACTTGATGGGATGTTTTAACATTCCTATCCTAACCACAAATAAAAACTGACAAGGTCACAAGTTTTTAAATATAAAGATGGAAAAAATGGTTGTGTCTAACATTCCAGATAATGTGCTCGGCAGAGCGCTGCAATATTTGAATTGTGTATATATAATGCTTGTATAGGGTAAGAGCGAACGCATTTTTCTAGAGATGATGTTCATGTCACTATTAAAACTGAAGTATGCATTCTAGAATCATCACAATTAGTATATAAAGTCATTAAAAGTTTCTAATTAGTACTGATTTAGTAACACGTGTTAATTAGTTAATTATGCAAACCTTATCAAATACAATTTTTTTTTCGTTACCTGATCAAATATTCTCACTTGCCCCAGACTGTGGGGCAAGTGGGAATAGCATGTGACTATTAAATGTGTTGTGTATTTCACTATGTATGGGGTAATTGCGAATAAGAAACATAAAATTTAGTGTCAGTAATATTTATTTTTATAAAAAGTCCAAAATTTTTTGATGAGAACAAAATATAAAAGCTAAATTTCCTAGCATACGAAATTCAATCCTTTGAAAGATACACTGAACTGGAACGATTTTCCTCTTCTATTTTCTATAGGATCTGGCAATATCATGACAATATTTTCCCTGGAAACAGTGTCAGTGTCATCATTATCTGGCCAGTAAAATGTATAATTGTTATTCTTCTTTTTCGTGAATTTAACAACTAGTTTGTTGTTTTCCTGGTCAAATCCCACTATTGTTCCAATAAAGTGTTTCACAGATTTCTTTCCGGTATATTTCACTACAAGCCACTGTCCAGACTCAAAATCTTCCTTTAACTTTTCAATATTGTTACTCATATCGTCATCTAGGATGTCCTCAACCAAATCATCTAGCGAATCATTATCCAAAAAATCATCATCTAATGGTGGATATATATCAGATAGCTCATCTAACGAATCATCATCTGACAGTGGATCTATATCAGATAACTCGTCACTAAAACTGGAACTATGCTGTTTTCGTCGTCTAAATTTTATTTTCCACTGATACTTTACCCCACTGGTGCTGGACACTGTTTCAATACTATTGTTTGCTTTTTCTTGTAGTTTTTGGAAATAATTCGGCATTTTTATTCCTTGATTTCTTCGCTGCCAAGTCACCAATTTTTTGTCCCACTCAGTCTTAAAGGATTTAAACACGGACAAATATAAGAGTTGTAGTAAATACGATGTGTGTGACGGCAACTTGAGAATGGTAATCTCATTTTCACGAGCTAATTCGATAACTTTTGTATTTACGTGAGTGCTGTGACCATCATATATCAATAATAGTTGTCTTTGTTGTCCCACAGCATTCAAAAATGCATTTTTAAGAAATTGACGAAAACATCCGTTTCCATCCAGCCGTTTGCAGTAGCTGCATAAGCTATATCAAGATTATCTGGGTCCTGTGTTGCCATCCACTGGTCCCATATGAACTTTCCTTTAAATACAATACATGGTGGTACTTTGTCTCCAAATGCATTTGCCGCAGATAATATTGTTACATTCTCCTTACCTGGACCACTCGTAGTTCGCGAACACGGTTTACCTTTGGCTCCTAGCACCTTCACTCGGAATGGGTCAACGCATAAGCTGGTCTCGTCTAAATTGCATACTTGCTTAGGCTTATCATTAACATCTAATTCAACAAGAGTATTCTTTAAGATCTCAAAATACTTATAAATGTGAAATCGATCACACATCTTCTTCCTTGCGTACTCAACCGATTGGGGTTTCTTGAGAGATAACTTGTATCTTGCTTTAAAGCCGGTGAACCAGTCATGACCAGGAATATTATTTTTAAATGGCGTTCTTATATTATTTTGTGTAACAAAATCAGAGACAATCAACAGAACTTCACGTTTTGACAATCCAAAGTCCCATTTTTCTAGAGTTTTCAATCGTCCTAATTTGCGTTCATGTTCTGCATGAATGACTGGTCCTCTACCTAATGAATCACTTTTTTTTCCTTTGGCACCAGTTAAATGATTGTGCAATGTTGTTTTTGGAATTGCATAATTTTGGCTTGCTGTATGTAGTGTTGTTTTTCCAGATCTGATATCTTCCAGTGCTTTTTGCAGTTGTTCCTTACTATAAGATGTCGCGGTCTCCGTCTTACGTTGATAAATGCGAACCATGGTAGCACCTAAAAAATAGTCAATCATTAAAATTTTAATCGGGACAGGTGAGAACGTAACTAATTATTTCTAGTTCCCACTTGCCTCGATAAAATTTTATTGAGGCAAGTGCGAACATTAGTGTACGTGGCCTCTAAGTAGGGTTATGTATATTGAAACACGTTTATCGTATTTACGAAGTGCACTTTTACACTAAAATAATACGGCTAATAATCTTACCTTGAAAATCTTGCTATAGCTGAGCACTGGGGTAAGTGCAAATTTAACAAATCAAGTGAATTTTTGCAGATATATGTTCAATACCTCAAGTCTCACATGTGCTGCTGGTAACGTCGCTCCACCATATACAGAACACATGCTTATGAAGTTGAGTAACGTTTACACTAGATTTCGCTATTTTACTATCGTTGGTTAAATTACGGTATTGAATAGTCGCACTTGCCACAGATTCCCACTTACTTTGACTTACCTTATATATATATATATATATATATATATATATATATATATATATAAATATATATATATATATATATATATATATATATATATATATACAAGTATATATAATCTCTTACAAATGGTACATATAAAAAAATGAGTATGGGTTTTATGCCGAACTACAACCACTTTGGAAATATTCCAACAGACATATAATTATTAATATATATATATATATATATATATATATATATATATATATATATATAAGAGTAAGAAAAAAGAAGTACTTGTGACTCGTTTGGAAAAAATATGACACTGTTTTTGATGGGTTGGAGTCAATAAAAGGGGCTATTTGTTGACTATTTTTTACTCGAGCTTTCAATTGTGATTACAATTTTTATCAAGAGCTTCTAAAAATACAAAATATCTTACAAAGTTGAACTAGAAATAAATAATGTTGTTGTTAACTCACCAAATAAAATTAGTTATTTATATAAAACTGCTGCTAACATTATTACAAAAAATATTATTAAAAAAATGTTCTATTCTAATAAATGTTTCTCTGACAAATTTAGATAAAGTTTCTTAACAAAAAACAATTGGATTTATAAACAAAAATTGAATAGCTACAATTCAGCCTAAATGACGTAAATAACAACTTAAAAATTTTTATTTTTGACATATTGTCAAAAATAAAATTTTTGTTTAAAAAATTCTTCTTTGTTTAGTAACAAAAAAGAAGAAGATTTATTCATCATTGATAGATGCCCGAAAAAATGTAACAAATACATGGAAAATTCAAAATGTGATATTTTACTGACTGCATAAATTAAATAGAAATTATATAATTATAAATTTTGCTTAAATTTTGAATTTCTGACCTTTTGTTTAAATTATTATCACTTTTGCTAATACAAACCATTTCCAAAAAAGTTCTTTTAAATTTATTACTTTCATTACATAAAATTTTAATATTATCAAAATCCATAATATGGTCTTTGTCTATTACATGCTCTGCCAAAGCACAAGATGGTTTCTTAATTCTACAATCACTCTTGTGAGAAATAATGCGATTTGAATAAAATAATTTCAAATCGCATTATTTCTCACAAGAGTGATTGTAGAATTAAGAAACCATCTTGTGCTTTGGCAGAGCATGTAATAGACAAAGACCATATTATGGATTTTGATAATATTAAAATTTTATGTAATGAAAGTAATAAATTTAAAAGAACTTTTTTGGAAATGGTTTGTATTAGCAAAAGTGATAATAATTTAAACAAAAGGTCAGAAATTCAAAATTTAAGCAAAATTTATAATTATATAATTTCTATTTAATTTATGCAGTCAGTAAAATATCACATTTTGAATTTTCCATGTATTTGTTACATTTTTTCGGGCATCTATCAATGATGAATAAATCTTCTTCTTTTTGTTACTAAACAAAGAAGAATTTTTTAAACAAAAATTTTATTTTTGACAATATGTCAAAAATAAAAATTTTTAAGTTGTTATTTACGTCATTTAGGCTGAATTGTAGCTATTCAATTTTTGTTTATAAATCCAATTGTTTTTTGTTAAGAAACTTTATCTAAATTTGTCAGAGAAACATTTATTAGAATAGAACATTTTTTTAATAATATTTTTTGTAATAATGTTAGCAGCAGTTTTATATAAATAACTAATTTTATTTGGTGAGTTAACAACAACATTATTTATTTCTAGTTCAACTTTGTAAGATATTTTGTATTTTTAGAAGCTCTTGATAAAAATTGTAATCACAATTGAAAGCTCGAGTAAAAAATAGTCAACAAATAGCCCCTTTTATTGACTCCAACCCATCAAAAACAGTGTTATATATATATATATATATATAATATATATATATATATATATATATATATATATATATATATATATATATATATATTTATATATATATACACACATATATATCCTTTGAATTTAGCCCACTTAATTATTTTCGATACACCTTGCCATTCTAGTAACGTCTGTTTTTACTTTATCTTTATATTCCTCTTTATAAGCAATTCTGCTTGCTCATTGGCGGATTAATACCTCTAGTCTATTTATGTCTACTTCAACTCCTTTCATCTTAATTACGGTTATATTTTTTAACTGCTTTATACTACTTAAAATAATTATCTTTGTAGATGAGTCCGCATTAAAAGAATTAGCTGATCCACAAGAAAAGTCTAATGCCGTTGAGGATGTTCAAGAAATCTCTAGAGAAGCAGCTGTCGATAATTTTGACTCAGCTCATTCAATTCTCAACCAACTACAACAAATTGTTGCTAATGATGAAAACGACAGAAGAGCAAGCGAAGTACTAGGTAGTCAACCTTTGGAGAATAGCTGGGAAAGCTTACAATTAGCTTCAAATAGAGCATCGAAACAAAATAGGGGAGAAAGTAGAAATGATGAAATGATAGTTGAACCAAGTGTAAGCAATCAGGCTGATGACGAAAGGGTAAGCACTAGTTTGGATAAAAATAATATTGAGACTGAAGCGAGGGGCCAATTCAGTAATAATGAAAATAATCTATCTAATTCTCTAGGTAGCTTAATACCAGTTTCAGATGACATTGAATTATCATTTAAAGATCCAGCCAATCTCTATTTTATCGGTAACGGAATCAAATTGCCGTTGAAAATGGTAAAAACTCCTAACGGATCCATTCAGTTTTCAGTGGATCTCGATAAACTCTGTTCATGTAATAATATAACCTGTCCTAAAGACCCCAAGGATCGTTCTGAACTAGAACAAACTGTTGGAAATATTTTGGAACAGGAAGCTGAACAGTTAGATGACTTAAACGATATATCAGTTGGCATGTCAAAACCAGAAATTATTGTAGAAGACAGTAAATTGAGTAGCAATAATTTACAAGGTATTCAAAATAAAGTAGCAACCAATTATGAAGATATGCAACGAAATAAAAGGTGGTTTAACCGACATAAACGATCTGTAGATACATTTTCACTTGATGAAAAAAAACTTAAAAAAAATAAATCTCCGTTGCCAGAAGTTGTGGGTGAATCGCTTAATCACTTTGTAGGTAGTCAAGTAAATAATTTGGCTAATTTGTTTACATCTAGTCAGCAGGAACTAAACGAGAAAAGTGGAATTCAAAGTTTTATTAAAGATTTTTTAAAGAAAGGTGTGAATGATGTCACAACTAAATTATCAAACAAGAAGAGTAAAGATAATTATTCATTACACAAAAATATTTTTGTTGTCAATCCTTCCACTCAAAAGGATTCCGGAAAAATTGTCATACCTATTGACAGAATTTACAAATTTAAAGGTGTAGAAGACCAAATAGGTAGTAATATAGAGAAAATAGAAAAAACTTTAAATAATTACGCAGAAATTGATAACACTATTTTGGAGAATGAATCAGCTATATTAAAGAGGATAAACGAAGATCCTATTATCCAAAAGGAAGTAGATTTAGTAAAAAACATATTGACCTTTTTAAAGAATTTAACGGTGGATAATTAATTTTATTTAAATTTTATATTTTTTAAAATTTATATGTACCCCAGAGCAATTTTAGAATAAATTCATTAAATAACGATGTATATTTATTTTCCTTTTTATCATTTTTCTCCTGTCTTTCAGTTTCTCCTTTATTTAAATTTCCTAGTCATATTCCCAATTCCTTTTAGGATAAGGTTTATAATCCTTATTATAATTGTAAAATTAAATATATAGAAAATATTTCTTTGTAAAATTAGAGCAGGACTACGATTGTATAGCCAACGAGAAGAAAGCAAGGAGCCCTCCTTTAGAGCTTCCGAACAAAAAATACAAAATAATTCCATAAAGGTAAGATGGCGAATGGACAGACACTCCGAAGCCAATAATGCACAAACACACACATAATCCTTATTGAACATTTTTTGTCTCTGGTCTTATAAATAATATTTATTATTTGTTATAAGTAATGGATTCGACCGTTACTTGATGGAAATTCATTTTATATAACAATACAATACTGAAAACGTTGTTTTCAAAACTTCCACAAAATTTGTTAAAATATCTTATCACTACAGCTGTTTCGGCAGATTGACTTTCTCAAGTGATCTATTTTTGGTATGTGTTTACACTTTATAGTCTTTAACTGAATAGGTTGAAAAGGGTAGAACTGTTTGTCTCAAGTTGGCCATCCAGAATTATGTCTGTATTTTTTAATTTGTTAATTTGCATATATTCTGGTAAATATAGCTTAAGGCCTTTATTTTGGATGTGAAGAATTTAAAATTCGACATTAAAAGAAGCATGAAGGTGAAATGCGTATGTAGAATCTATTTTTCTATTATTATAAGCACTTTTATGTTCTGCTATCTTTTTTTGGTGCCTATCCTCTGTTCTTCTTCTCCTTGTAGTTCCTTCTCCAATCGGAGGTGGCTATTATCACAGTTGATTATGTTGGCAATTATGTTGGTCCATACAACTTTGTTGACAGCTGCTCTAATTAGATGTATGGTAGTCATTTCTGCCCACTGTCTTAATTAACTAATACTCCTCATTCAGCATCACATGCCCTAAGTATGTCATCTTTCTGATTTTTACGATACGCATAATTTCCAGATCTTTATTCATACGTTGGATCACGGTATTGTTTGTAACATAATGGATATAGAAAATTCTGAGTATGCGGTAGTAGAACCACATTTCGAAGGCTTCTAATCGTTTGGATGTTGCCTCCGGTCCAGGCTTCGACTCCATATAAAAGGGTAGAAAATACATAGCATCTCAAGAATCGTGTTCTTATACCAATGTTCAACTGCATATTACATAAAATCTTCCTGAGGCGATTGAAGACAGCTCTCGCCTTTTCTATACGACATCTTATTTCCTGTAATTGGTCCCAGTCCTTATTTAGGCTGCATCTAAGAATTGTAATTTTGTCGAATATTTTCAAAGGTTTATTATTAGCTGTGAATTTTTGCTGTATTACGTCGTTTTTACTTAGTACAAGAATTTCGGTCTTTTTCCACTTTAATTTTATGTCGTATTTGTCACACGCTTTCACTACACGGTCTATTAATGTTTACAGATCCTCCGCATTATCAGAAATCAAAACCGTATCGACCGCATATTAACTTGTTTATGATTTCACCATTGATTTCTATACCTTCTTTTAAACCATCCATAGCTACCCTGAACAGCATTTCTGAGTAAGTGTTGAATGATGTCGGTGACGAAATGCAGCTCTAACGTACCGTTCATTTTATCGTAAATTCCTGCGAGGTTTCGTTTGTCTACTTATACAGTTGCCCTTTGCTGTAAGTATACATTTTTAAATCATGAATGTGTTGCTTGTGTGAGTCCATTTCAAATAGGTAAAGAAATAATAAATAAGACTTACTCACAATCAATTTAATTTAACTGTCATAACTGTTTTAAATGTCATCATTTGTTTAACTTTGTATCGAGACCTGAGGATGCTTTGCATATTGTAGAAAGCGAAACCGGTCGTCTGATAGTTAAATTAAATTGATTGTGAGCAAGTCTTATTTATTATTTCTTTACCTATACATTTTTAATTAGGATTAAAACTTTGTCATCAATACAAGATTCTTTCAGTAACTGAAATAATTTTTGATGTTGCACCTTGTCAAATGCTTTTTCAAAGTCTATAAAGGATGCAAAGACTTCGCAATTTACATCTCGATATTTTTGTATTAATACTTGTATGGATAATAGGGCCTCACGCGTTCCCAATCCGCTTCTAAACCCAAACTGAACACTGCTAATGTCTTGTTTAAGTTTTCTATATATGCGAGAGTGAATAACAGAAAGAAGGATTTTGAGTGCATGGCTCATTAAGCTTATACTTCTGTAATCAGAGCATCTGGTGGCATTTGCCTTTTTAGGGAGAGGGATGAAAGTGGAAACTAGGAAGGTGCTTTGTTGGTTTTTAGTTTTTTTATTGCATATATTAATTCACTTGGCGTTATTTCTGGTCCTGAACATCCAGAAACATTGACTTCTATCTCTTGCTCTTCCTTGACTAATTCTTGGACGTATTGCCTCCATCTCTCAAGTATTTTTTTTATTTTCGTAAAGCAGATTGTCGTGCTCGTCTAGTATTAAGTTATGACTTCGTGATCCGTTTCCTCCCGTTATGTTTTTGATCTTTTATGTAGGTTTAAAGTGTCATGCTTCTGCTCTAGGGATTCTATTTCTATGCATTGATCTTGTAGCCATGATTCTTTTGCTTCTTTTATCTTTTTCTAAATGATTTTGGTTATTTCTTTGTACATTTCCTCCATAATTTGGTACATAATCCTACATAATTTGGTATGTACATGTGAGAAGAACAGATTATACAAGGTGGATAGCAAAGATTTCGGATTGGAGCCCAATAGGAAGGAGAAAGAGAGGTAGACCCCGAAGATCATGAAGGGATGAAGTGGACGAGGCCATGGAAAGACGAGACCTTAGAGATGGAGAATGGCAGAACAGAAAGGACTGGAGACGTTGATTGAAAAAAAGAAAGCGGCGACAGCTGTAAAAATCCTTATATAGATAGATAGATAGATAGACATTTTCTTATTCTTATTTTTGTGTTTTCTTCGTTCTTCCATTAGCTATAATATTTCTTGTCTCATCCACGGCTGTTGCTTTATATTATTTTCTGGTTTAAGTTTATTATCTACCACTAAATTAAAGATATTTTTGCTTTTATTCCACATCTCATCCACACTTATGTTTTCTTGATTAATATCTGAGATTACCATACCGTTTATGTTGTTGTTGATCTCCTCTTTGACTTCGTCTCTTGTACTTTTATCTTTCAACTTCTGGATGTCCGGACGTTTTTGTGCTTTTCTTTTATGGACTTTTTTCATGTGCAGTTTGAAACGTCCTAGTAAAAAATTATGGTCTGATGAAACATTTGCTCTCGGATATGTTTTTGAAGATTTTACGGAATTCTGAAATCGTTTGTTGATGATGATGTAGTCAATCTGGTTTCTAATATTTTTTTTTTGAACAGCCAGCTGGAGATTTCCAGGTGTAGAATCTTCGAAATGGTAATTGGAAAAACGTGTTTATTATTGCACTATCCATTTTCTGGCAGAACTGAACAAGGCGGTCTCCTCTACAATTTTGCGTTTCTAGTCCAAAGTGTCCCACAGTATTGCCAATACCTCCTTTGCCTACTTTGGCGTTGAAATCTCCTAGTAGGATATTCGGGATATCCACTTCATTTTGGCGATTTTTGTTGCCAAACATATCAACAAAAGATATGAACAATAATAGCCAAACATATAAAAACGAAAGGAATAACACCAGCTTTTGTAGTAAATAACAACTTAGGCAAATCTATTAAAAACAACAAGAACCAAAAAAAGCACTTACAGTGGTGTAAACAAACTTAAATGTGGAGACTGCCCAAAAACTTACATTGATCAAACTGGTAGAACTCTTAACAAACGAATAGCAGAACACTTGTGTGAAAATGTGCACTTCACTTTACAGATCATAATTATTCTTTTAACGACGAATGTTAAATTCTACACATTCAAAATAAAGGCCTTTATTAGAATCTATGGAAATTAACAAATTAAAAAATACAGACATAATTCTGAATAATCCACTTGAGACAAATAGTTCTCCCCTCCTCAACCTAAAGTTAAAGACTATAAACACATAACAAAATAAGATCAATCGAGAAATGCACTCTGCCGAAACAGCTGTAATGATAAGATATTACTATAAATTTTGTGAAAGTTTTGAAAATAAAGTTTTCAGTGTTTAATTGTAATATTGTATTACTTGTTATTTTATGATAACGATTTAGAACTATTAGTTCCATTATTTATATCATACTGCAATGATTCGTTGCTCTTGCGATCGTTGCTCGTTCCTTAGCGAAAAAAGGCGATGTCCACCCAATGACGTTCCACGTATATCAGAGGATAATTCCAGTTAACAGCTGGTAGTCACTATTCCGTAAATAATCATTCATAATATATATTTTATAATATACTAGCTGACACGGCGAACTTTGTTCCGCCTTAATGGCAATAAATAAGCAGATTGTGTTTTTTTTTGGAAAAATTACAAAAAAAAATTAAATAACTACATTAATCATTCATTATTATTTCTGTATTTTAGTACATAGGTTGCTCTTCACTTAAATACCATGTGATACACGACATTTTTTGTTTTATTATCAGGCACAAAAACAAACAACGCAGATGGTCTTCCGACCCGTGAACATGCCACGTATAATTGACCATGGGAAAAACATGAATGTTCTAGATTTAAACCACAAACTTTTAAGGATTGGATTTGTGATTTGTTGATGGTCATGGCAAATGCAAGACGTATCGGAAATTGAAGTCTTTTAAATTCAAACAGCATATCGGTTGGGATCATCGGGATCCTCGGAATGAGAACTTCCTCACCTTTGAATTTTCCCATCATTATCGTAGCGTAAATTACATTGTTCATCAATTTACTAACCACCAAACGCGTACCGTTGCACATTTTTCTTTGGTTTATGTTTCGAAGCATGATTACTACGGAACCAACCTTTAAGCGTAAATTGTG